GTTTTTTTATAAAAGAGTGGGGGGGGGTGGTGATACCTACCACAGGCATTTAAAGATAGTCTCTTTCGTATTTTTATTTAAATGAGCAGGTCTCAGGAATAAATTTAAGGAACTGTTCTTTCTTTCTTTTTTTGCTTTATAATTGTGTTTTTGTAGCTATATTGTATTACTACTACTATATTGTAACGTATAACAGTTTTTTATAACTATAACATGCTGGTCTTCAATAACACGTCGTGTTAAAAACAAGGAAAATGTCTAAGAAAGATAGCATTAGTATACAAATATGTAATGCTCTCTTGATTGTGTAATTATTTGATCAAGGAAACATTAATTGTCAGCAATTATTGTTGTGCATTTTCTTTTTAAAAGCTCAGCATTTATGAAGTACTATATCTGGTTTGATCTACATACAACTTGTAAGGACATTTGATTTAAAAAAAAACAAAACAAGAAACTGCTGTCTATTGTAAAATTTTACTTATAATATTTATGCACAAGTTACAGTACAAAATCATGTGTCTCTAACATGGCAGAAAACCTTTTGCCCAAATGTCCTCAGGAAACTGTCATCTACATTTCGTCGTTCATGGTATCAAGGGGCCATAGCGATGAAACACAGCAGCAGATTTAACAAATACAAGAAACAACACTAAAAAATACTGGGTTAAATATAACCCAGTGCTGGGTTAAAAAGGGATGAACCCAGCAGTTGGGTTGTTTTGACCCAACCGCTGGGTCAAAGCAACCCAACCTCTGGGTCAAAATAACCCAACCGCTGGGTTTGTCCCTTTTTAACCCAGCATTTTTTTTAGAGTGAAGGAACACAAGAACGAGTGAGAAAGATTATACAAAGACCATAAATACAAAGAGACAAAAAGTATAACTTTAAAAGTAATAGAGCTAAGAAAAGAAAGTACAAAGGTTGATGATGATGATGATAAAGAAAAAAAAAGCTTTTTTAGAAAAAGCATCCACATGATTAGGTTGCAAAGAGTCACAGAACCAGAAATAATGAGTGTAAGGTCTAAAGGCATTGAAAACATATTGTACAATATCAGTGATGGAAACAGATTCCAAACAGGTTCTGTGAATATGAACATTACTTCATTACATGAGGCAGTTTTTCAATCAGGAATTTTACCTGATGCACAATGATGTTGCAAACAATAGGTGCTTTCATAATTTTTGAGATTCAAGTGATGGTGAGAGAAATTTTAATATAGGATCATAAATCATAATGTTGCTAAATTAAAGGCCACAAGCATGTAGCCAAGCAGCTAGACTTTACAAAACCTTAAAACTACTAAGTTTCTTTAGTCTTGACATATTGCCTTGACATAGAAGTGAAGTAAAATGACAAACACAAATGCAACAAAAAAAGAGCATGTTTGAAATCAAGCAGGATGATGCTGGGAATGTCATACTTTCTTGTCCTTTTTGATAGTAGCACTCTTTTTTTTTTTTTTTTCACAAATCAGCTGAAAAATATGTACGAGGACTCCTTTTATTCATTTTCATGTAACCACTCTGTGATACTAACAGACAGACCTGAAGAAATCATTTCAAGTACCGTGACCCGTGGAGCTTTAAGCTATTTTTGGCCTAATGATGTGGCTATGTCATTGCAATCACCCGGTGAAGGGACTGAACATTAGTTATCTGCTGCTTTGTTGCGTTCTCTTTCCTCTGTCAATGAAGCGTAATTAAAATCTATGCAGAGTTCGTAAGTAAGACACAACTGTATGGTTTGTGGTGCCCCATTTTAACTCTCCGTGAGGTCATCTTTCGGTTTAGATCAGAGAATGTAAACACGTTGAGGAGGAAAATAAAAAAAAAAAAGCACAAAAGAGCACCAGACACTAATTATATACCAACAAAAGGACTGAAAAAAAAATCACAGTCCCACAGCACCAGGTCCAACCCTCTTTATGGACTTTTCAAAGAGGACTTGGGTTGAGAAGGCAAGCTGATACAGTCATCAACTTAAGAATGTTGCACATGTCCATCATTCTCAAAAGTTGTTTTGCATTCAGCTGAGCACCGACCGGAAAAATGGCAGTTGACTTTCCCTACAGGTCACCTGGCTGTGCCCATCAGAGCGAGAGTTTTTGTGCGAGAGATAGACGTCAAGCAAAAATGCAGGAGAGCTCACTTTTCTCCTTCGACAAACTCATCATATGATGATTCCTGGTCTTCCTCCTCCACTTCCCCTAAATCCTCAGTGTCTTCGAAGTCATCATCCACAAATTCATCTCCCCAGTCCTCGCCACGGTCCACCTTTTCTTCCTCCTCATCCTCGAATCCTATCCCTCCGTAGTCCATTTCTTCATCATCATCCACAACCTCAAGGCCTACTTCTTCTCCTTCATCCCCGATCACCCCTTCCACCACCTCACCTTCATCACTCATATCTTCCTCCTTGATGTCCTTAGAAAGAGAAGAGGGTGGCAAAACCACGTTGTCCACCACCTCGTCTGCATACGGGTGTCTTTGGGCTTGGAACACGGGTCTGTTGGGGGCGGGAATGAAGAGCGGAGCAGCAAGCGGTAGGGCAGGCAGAGGTATTCTGCCTGACACTGACATATTGGGCAGAGGGGGTAGGATAGGTGTACCGGGCACGTACTCTCGAATTTCACCCGGTTCCAGAGGATCGGGGCCGCACGGGTCGTGTTCGCTGCAGGACAGCTTGCCGTCCAGTTTGGATATGAACAGCATTCCCTCGCGGTGCTGTTTGCAGTAGGAGTTGGGACACATCTCGCAGTAGGATGCTGCCTCCCTTCCGCACTCATTACACTGATGCCACGGACACTCCCAGCGGCCTGAAAAATGCATATAGTGCAGCTTCAGTTATGATTCAGCTTGAATAAAATCCTGAGCTGACCAAATAGCCAATAATGGGAGAGTTATTCTATTATTTAACATAAAATTAATTTAAAGTGCTGAAAAAAATAATAAAATATATATATATATATATATATATATATATATATATTTTAACATAAAATTAATTTAAAGTGCTGAAAAAAATAATAAAATATATTTATATATATATATATATATATATATATATGTGTGTGTACATTAACATTTTAATATATTAAAACATTTCAAGTTTTATATTACCATTTAATGCTGCCTCTATAGACTGGTCAGAAATCAGGAAATTAAATGTGCTTATTGTCCTCTATTGAGAGTTTTAACCATAAAGAAAAAAACTAATGTATAATACTTCCTGTCACAAACTAGTAATAGCAAGCAGCAAATCATGGTTTTGCCATAGTTATGGTGTCAGTAAGAAATTATTACTCATATTCAGCAACATCTTTGGTATAATTAATGTTACAAAAGATTCTATTTCAAATAAATGCTATTCAATTGAACTTTGTTGAACTTTCTATTTCCACAAAAATATTAAGCAGAACAATAGTGATAATACATAGAAATGTTTAATGTGCAGCAAATCAGCATATTAGAATGATTTGACAATGAAGACTGGAGTAATGACTACTGAAAATTCAACTTAGCCATCACAGGAATAAATAAAACTTTATATTAAAAGGAAAAAAAGATTTAAAACGGTTTATTTTGTTACAATACTATACAATATATTACTGTTTTTACTATATTTCTGGTCAAGTAATTGCAACCTTGGCATAATAGACTTCTTTCAAAACATTAAACATTTCTCCTACACGTTTAAACAGAGTAAAACTAAAGGCTTTCACTTTTTTTTTTTTTTAAAAGACCAGCTCAACTTCCTGTTTCAATTCAAAATACATAAACACAAAAGAAAAAAAAAGCTCACCATGATAGAAATACTTCATAATCAAACTTCAGAGCGATGCAAAAAAACCTTAAAGGGATAGTTCACCCAAAAATGAAAATTCTGTCATTAATTACTCCCTCCCATGTCATTCCAAACCCATAAGACCTTCATTCATCTTCGGAACACAAATATTTTTGATGAAATCTGAGAGCTTTCTGACCCTGCATAGACAGCAACGCAATTATGGCCCAGAAAGATAGCAAGGACATCGTCAAAATAGTCCATGTGACATCAGTGTCACGATTTTGGTGGGGTCTACGCTCGATACCACCCCTGGAATTCATCGGCGGCATTCTATTGCCGGTTCGCCGCCTCTCTTCCCCGCGGGCTCGACCGCGGCTGGTCTAACCTCCGCGCTGACCTGAACTGACTTTTTGCTGGGGTTTTGCCATCCGGCTGATTTATTGACTTTTTGTTATCCCAGTTTCAATAAACTTGGAATTTGTTTTCACCTGCAGTTGGATCCCGGTCTTGTTTCTGACAGTACGGACTGACCAAGATGGATCCAGCGGGTAAGGAGTTTGTCAGATCGGCCATCGCTCATCAAGAAGCTCTCCTCGGTCACCAAGCTAGC